AGACAGGAGTGAGAGGTTCGAAGATATATTTGATAGGCTATCAATATATCAAGGACCGTCTAATCTAATCTAGCTAGTGATTACAGGGAATGTTGAGCACGGCCTTCCCACTAGTGATCTGGTGCGAATGCATGGCCAAGCGCTTTCAACTAGATGAGTCCATTAAAACTAATATGGTCAGCACCCAGTGTCGAAGACTTACAGAGCTTTTGATTTTGAGGATTTATTTACCGCTACAAAAGGATTACCATCAGTTAAGGACGAAAACCATGTCTCTATTCTCCCATAATTCCCTTCCAACTCCCTCCACACTGCTGTGTAGGTAACTAGGTATTTGTTACTTACACGTGTTTCATCTATGTCAGTAGCTAATTGCAATGTTTTGAACAGTTTGTGGGGTGGAGGGATTTATCTATTTCTGTGAGAACTGGGTGGCGGGAGCATTTTCCCCGTGTTGTTGTGACTCTGTTAGCGTTGTCCTGTGTTATAGGGTAATGATTGGGGTCAAGTAGAACCGAAACGCACTTTGGTTACTCTGCTATTGTTCTGCCGATCTAGGTCATCTGTTGAAGCATTGGACATGGTTGTGGGAGGCGTTTTTCGCCTGATGTTAAGCCTGAAGGAAGTCGATTTCATCCCCTGAATTTCTAAAGTTTACGGCCACCAAATGGGGTGGCTTAACTGATGTGAGGTGTAACAGGCTGAAAATTTGGGACACACTTGTCCCTGTAGTTGTGCGCACACCTCGGCTACGTGATAATCATCGCCACTGGAAAATATCAGGCACGTAAGCTTCTTCCATACTAGTAAACGCTGGCTCGTTGATAGTCACTTATGACCCCTGACACTATTGATCGTATCTGACTTAGATGCTCAGTTACTGCTCACTTTTGATCTGTCTAACACTAAAGGAGTTTCCAGTCATATATGTCGAATGTACTGCCACTCATAGTGGAGGGGTTGTGCATCTTGTCGTAGCATTGGTTCAGTGCAACTGACACGGGTTCGTTCAGACAACTCATGTAGGATCAGTGAAATGTCACCAGTCAAATCGTTCGGTAGTCAGGTCACCGAATGTTCAACAGTTCACTGATCCTCGTCGAGATTAAGGTCAACCAACGTGCATCGATGAATTGGGTGCCATGGACTGGATCATGTAGAAGTGGTTGCACTCTACTTCTTGCACTTACTCTTACAAATATATCACCGTAATAACGTCGTTTCTGTTGTATGGTCACCAAATCAGCCATGATGCCTGAATACGACGAAAGAGTAATCCACGTTGGGTATTAACTGAGAGATGTGACCCTGACGTTAACTCGTCGGCCACACAATTCCCGTCTGACTCGAGTACACTCTCAGTCACTCAACACCGATCATTCACTTTAGTGATATACACACCCATGTCAAAAAGGCGTAATATTCGTTTCTTTATTAGTTGTCAAAGGCTGCTCTTTTCTCCAGTAACTAACCCTTCGATTCTTGGATATGAAATAACACCAGAGTCTTATATCTAACGTGATTTTTTCCATGGTATGGTACAGATGAAGCTGTGTTGAGAGATACTATCACATTACAATGAATTCAATTCAATAAATTGTTTAATGATTCGGATCACATAGACATGGTGGAATGCATGAAATTGGATATTTAAATTTGTATTGGCAGACTGATAATGATGAAATCACATCAGAAGTCATTGTACGAATTTCAGCATCATGTATGAAAGAATCTTGAAAGTGACTTGTTTATAGATTAAATATTTTGTGATTCACAATCCTCATGAGAATGTATTCTCAGATGAGGTCTTGGATAAACACTGGAGACGTATTTGAATGATTCAAGTCAGGTTACCTCAAGCTTTGGAGAGAAACCTCCGAACACAAAATAATTTATTGTTTGTAAAGTGAGAATTGGGGATATGTAAAGACATCTGAGTTTGAAATTATCGTCAGTCATACTTCACTTCGACGACACTCGGCAAACCATCCGACAAACACTGTTTACTCTTCTATGATATAGTTTCATTTAATCCGAGAAAAAATTTCTTTGCAGATCAGTAACATTTCATTATTCCCATGTCTTGTTGAGGTAAAATTTGAAAATCGAGGAAAATTGACCATAGAGTTTGGTACATATATAGAACCCACATAGGTTATTCCGTTCTCTGGATAAATCAACCTACTCAATCTCCGTAAATCAAATTTTGGTCATGTCACTTATTCACTTGTCAACCCTGACTGTTTTTATGTAAGCATACTTGTGTGCACTTCTTATCTTACTCATCACAATTCTGCAACTTATTTTTGTTCTACTATAAATATCGATTAACGCTTGGTTAAGTGGGGCTGGCTCACTACCCTCCATTGCACGTCATTTTGCTTTGCTTCGCTTTCCAATCAACCATACGTGCTCGAATTCCATTCTCTTATTTGACTTATTTAATTCCATCATGCACTAACGCTACTTAGGCCGATGATTATATGCGAGAGCAACCTGTGTGCATATTTTGATAACAATCATACATACGACCTACCTGGAGTCAGATTCCGAGCCACTTAAACTCTAGAGGGTAGATGAAGAGCAAGAGTTATTCAAGCAAGTGAAGAAGAGCATTAGAGCCGACAAGTAAATTCACGTGGAAGAACCAGCAACGATGGTGGAAAAAGCTGCAAGAGAGAGAAATATGAAACAACTATATGATACAACGAGGAAACTAGCAGGGAAACATAGTAAACCAGAGAAACCGGTCAATGACTAAGAAGGCAGGCCAATCACTCAAATTCAGGAACAGAGGGACAGAGTACTTTGGGGAACTTCTGAATGAACCAGCCCTACTGAATCCATTGGACATTGAAGCCGCACACACAGACCTTCTTGTAGCTGTCACTTCAGCGACGATCAAAGAGATCAGGACGGTCATCAGGCAGATCAAGAGCGGGAAAGCAGCAGGACCTGAAAATATATATCAGCCGAAGTATTGAAGTCAGATACTGAAATAATAGTAAACATGCTTCACGTTCTATTCAAGAAGATTTGGGAGGAGGAACAAGTGTAGATGGACTGGAATGAAGGACACCCCATCAAGACACCAAAGAAAGGACATCTGAGCAAGTGTGAGAGCTACAAAGACATCACACTGCTGTCAGTTCCTGGAAAAGTTTTCAACAGACTGTCTCTGAAATGGATTAAAGACGCAGTAGGCGCCTAATTTCGAAATCAACAGGTCGGATTCCATAAGCATCGGTTGTGTGCAGACTAAATTGCGGCATTACGGAGCATCGTTGAGCAATCAATCGAATGTAACTCGTCACTATACATCAACTTCCTTGACTATGAGAAGGGGTTTGATAGTATGGATAGAAGAATATTTTGGACACAAGTGACAGCTCAGAATCATTGAGACACTTTGAACTTCGCAGATGACCTGGCCCTCCTATCACATACACACGAACAAATGCAGATGAAGAAAACTAGTGTAGCAGCAACCTCGACTGCCTCAGTGTGCCTCAGCATACACAAATGAAAAAGCAGGATCCTCAAATACAACACGGAGATCAACAATCCAATCACACTTGATGGCGAAAATCTGGAAGGTGTGGAATCTTTCACGTACATGGGAAGCATAATCGATGAACAAGAACGATAGGACGCAGACGTAAAGGCGAGGATTGGCAAAACAAGCGCCGCATTCATGCAAACTAAGAATATATGGCACTCAAAACAACTGCCAACCACTATCAAATTCAGAATCCTCAATACAAACGTCGAGGCAGTTCTATTGTACGGAGCTGAAATTTGGAGAACTGCTACAACCATCATCAATAAGATGCAAATATTTATAAATAGTTGTCTATGCAAAATACTCAACATCCATTGGCTGGATACCATCAGCGAAAGCTTCGAGCTGAAGTGGAAATTAGGGAAAGACGTTGAAGATGGATGGGATATACACCGTGATAAGTATCAAAATGCATCACAAGACAAGCCCTTACTTAGAAACCTGAAAGGAAGCGAAAAAGAGGAAGGCCAAGTAACACATTACGTCGGGAAATAAAAGCAGATATGAAAAGGATGAAACAACTGGAAAGAGCTGGAAAGGATTACCCAGGACAGTGTTGGTGAATGTCCTATGCTCTTCCACGAGGAGTATCAGGCGTAAGGACTTAATTAAAGTTGCCAGTAAGTCTGCCGTCACTTCCGGCCGAGCTCCAACGTAATAGGAGTCAAGTTGCACCAGAGATATCGATCACACCCATACCTTTCCGTCAGATGTTTTTAATAATCACTTCCAATTCATTGAAAGTGACTATAGTATCTGAAAAGTTTGGTCTCGTTTATCTGGATTCTTTTCTTTGTTGTTGGTTCACGTTCAGGCTTCACTGAATTTATTTTGTTGCTCTCATAGCTGTTTTTCAAAAAAGACTTGATAGTCATTACTAAAGTAATCATTTTCTCTGAGATATCTTAGCACATATCAAGACTAGGTCCCAGGTTAAACTGATTCGCATTACAATCGGACAACAAAGGAGCTTTTGGAGACACGTTATTCACTACTGTTTTAAACTCCTCTTTAAATTCGAGGGGTTTGCTTGTTCGGCATGCTATAAACAATAGTTAGGTACTAATTTTACCAGTAATAAACAATTTGAGGCTGAAAGCTTAAATTCAGTTATTTCCTTTACATTTTACTTGTCACTAGCGCTAATTTCTGAGGTTTAATATCTGGTTTATCAGTAGGTATATGCTTTATAAAACACATGAAATTCACCATAAGATGTCTACAAGTTGCTCTTATATTGAAAATGTTCACAGGTTAGACGATGCAGTCTCACTGTCTGACAAGTTGTTTTGATTGAGCTGTTTATTCATAAAATTTCGGGTAATATTAACGGTCGCTATTATCCTGCAAAGTAGCATAATATCGTCTCAATAGTTAATCAAGTGTTTTGTTTTATCTGATTTCATACAGTTTGTTACACATTAGCGGCTTGATGCTCAAGGACATTCGGACTATCTGATGATTTGAGCGTGTATCTTTAGTTCACATTCTGAAGTCATCTTCTCAACCTAGTATACAAGGTCTGTCAACATGAAAGTGATTTTTAAACGATTTCATGTGAATGTTACAGCTCACCTTTCACATTATTTTACTTTCAGCGTCTTGTCAAATACACCTGTTGGTTCGCGTACAACTGTTAATTCATTCTAATACTAACCAACTGTCATAAAGTTCCTTTGCTTATTGGTTCTAAATCAGCCTGTCATCAATGTCAGAATCGATTTTTGAGGATTTATCTGCCCAAGTCAGGGTTCCTGCTGACGGGGAAAAAGTTTTCAAGGATGAATGTCCTTTTTCGTTTGAGACACCTGAGACAGAAAAAGGAATATACATATGCATGCGACACTTCGTTGCAATTGGCTCTAAGATCCTTAGGCTTTACTATGAGAAGACTGGTTGTCGTGCTTTCCTAAGATACAAGATCGAAAAGCAATTCAAAGATAAGGGTATGTTTTTAATCTTTTGGTATTTCACTTCCACCTTATTTCAAGATACAAAGTAAAAATCGTAATCTCAAGTTTTTGGGTGCAAGTATATGACCGCCTATCACAATTAGATCGTTTTCTCTAAAATTCCTGATTTTTAAAGTCATTTGTACTGTATTTTTCAGGGTAGTTTACACAGTGAACGTTGTTGCTTATTTATTTGTTGGATTGTTTCACATTACCCATGCCTTAGCTGTTTTGAGGCTTGGGAGAGGAATTTTGTTATGCTAACGATCGTCATTCAAAGAACCGTTGGTCTTTCATTATCCGGATTAGACTATACTATCTCTATTTTTTCTTTTCATCCCTATGGTTACTTACTGCGCTTTTTCATTTTGCATCTATTTTAACTTTAGCTTATAGTAATTAACAATATGGTCTCTAAAAAATATTTGCTTCTAACTTTAATATCCTTGAAACGCATTTGAATTTATTATCAATTTTTCGGGGCTTCTGATTAATTTGTTAGACCACCGTAATCTTCTGTTTATAATCACTCCCTGAAATCCTTCACAATCCTTTAAAAAACTATTAGCCAATTTTTTCAGATCAACATATTATCTTTATCTCTCAAAAACCAATGTGGGTAAAACTAAGACGTCGTAGTCCTAAATAACTTTATTCCGATCAACCTCAAGGCACAAATTTAGTCGAGGTAACATTGTGTGCTAGTTGTATCAGCACTAATGATTTTACTGAATATTTAATTTATGTGCTATAATTTTAAGCTGTTTATTTGCCTTTAACTCGATCATTCTTTTGTGTAGCTAATTTGAATGTATTTCTGTCGAAGATGATTAGAACTTGTTGCGAAGACTACTCATCTACATATCCGTTTTACTACATAATTAATTATCAGTAACAGTCGTCTCTTGTAGCTAACGATACGTATACTACATCCACACACCCTTGCACAATAATTATGAGATTGTTTCCTATTGCATCTTTTAGACTCCAGTACCTTTATTTCTTGATTCCCTCACTATATCAGAGTGATTAGTGAGAATTGAGATTTTCAGTAACATTTTAGGTTGTTTGCCCTTCTTATAGTCAGTATCGCTTGATATCACTTATTTGGGAATTATGTCACAGGAAAATGTAATCTTATGAGTTGCATCATCTTTGGTTTACGTGTCTAGATAAGAGGAAGGCTGATTACGAATATAGTGGTCTTGAGTGCTGTTAAAGTTATGAGGGAGGGTATCACTTCTCGGTTGCCCACACCGTAGAAGGGTTTTTCTGGAGGCACCTGATAAGGAAATTAGAATAGAGGTAGTCTTAGAGACCTGAGAGCGTGACCATTGTGCTCAAGGGACAACTGCTCGAGGCCGTTTACACGACCTTTCTGTGAGTAATTTTCATGTCCGCTCCATACTTATTGAGACCTTGCCGCCGAAGACGGATATCCGTGGGATGGTTCGAGGTGTGCATTTTTAGGGTCGACCATTTCTAACCCCACCCTTCCTTGTGGGAAGGCAGCATCACTGTTATGCTGGTTGTCTGAAGGAAACACCTTACTGCTGTCACACATCTGTACAGTCAGCAGTACGACTTCCCCTTCAGACCTTGGGTTTGCTGCTTTTAGTCTTGCCGTACTTCAATCGACCTATCTTGCATGGTAGAACCTTGATAAACGATTGTTCCAGCCAGTATAGCTCTATTGGATCATCACGATAGGTAAGCCCGACCGCCACGTCGAGGTAACATCAACGGTTGGGACATGGCTCAGAATCGATCGCAATCGCGTTAGTGTATACACTCTCTGTCTTCCTTTAAACTAAGGGATGAAAATAGATCCATATGCTTCATTCTACAAACTAATTCTTCCTTCCTGTACTATGTCCTTATATGCAATCTTTCTTTTATATATTACCATCATTGAATTAACTACTTCTATGAATTCGGTGTTCATCTTGCTGTGCTAATGAAGTGTGGCAACTTGGACCGATGCATACATGTACCTGGTCTTATGTCGTAGCTGACTTATTGACTGTCTAGATAAGAAACTTTTTTTGTGGTTATGTAGGTGCTAGTGCTCAAGAACGCCCAACAAAACTCGCTATTGGAGTTTCTGGAGGTTTTGACTTTCCCCAAGATATGTATACAGTCACTGAACATTGGTCTCTAGTGCGTCTCCCGCAAGGCGATTCATTTGATATCCCGAATCCAGAACCCGGACAAGGACAATCTGATATATCTCATCTAGAGATTTTGGAACTTCCTAAACACCTAGCTATTTCAATCGCATCAATTCAACGTGCTGAGTCAGTATTACTGGCAGAAGAACGAGCTAATTCACTTAAAGCTTGGGAAGATGATAATATTTGTTTTATTTCGTCGTATGCAATGAATTTAGCACAAATAAATAATTCAGTTCGGATTCCCCCGTCGTAGGTTAACATTACTTATTCTGCTAGTTTATATATTGTTTTTAAATAAACAAATAGTCTTGCATCACTCTTTCATCAACTTGGATTACTAATTATATTCCTATATGCATTCACTGCGTCCAGTATATTTATGGAACACTATCATCCTCTACCCTTCAACTGTTAACAGGATACATGGTTTTATTTTTATTTATTTATTTGAACACAAATATTGGTACGAGGGGCACCAAATATATATGCGCCACACAAAACAATGAGAACGGGAAGAGAAAAAAAAGGTAAGGAGCGCATAAAAAAGGACAATAACGATCACAGATTAGTGTAAGGTAGTGTAGTAATAATAATAATAATAATGGGAGAAACGGAAAGGTACAACCAGAAGAATTTTTTCAGTTGAGGAAGATACAACCACAGCAGGATCGCCACTGGCTTCTATTCTGAGCCATATCTGATGACGTCTCTAGCCACTGTGTTGCACCATCTCTCGGACCCCATTCAGGGACTCGTGAAGGACCAACACAAGACAGTCCTTTGCAGCTTTCTTTCATGCCACGACACCGTGTTATACAGTGACCACCTCTCCGCTTCTTCCAACCAGTCTCAGAGTCGGCAAATTATGCGCGACGTGGAATTCGCTGGGACGAAATTCGTAGAACATGTCCAAGCCACCGAAGTCGATGTTTCAAGATGGTGACACCAATTGCATTATCATCTCTGTGCCCGAACACACGATGCCGAACCTCTGCATTGCTAACATGGTGTTGCCACTGGATGTCAGCAATCCTTCGGAGACAACGATGATCGAACACAAAGAGTCTTCTAACATCCTCAACTCGGAGAAGCCATGTTTCACAAGCGTAGAGCAAAACTGCTCTCACCCACGCGCTGTAGATCCGACCTTTTACAGCCAGACTAACATCACGAAGGCACCAAAGATGGCCCGGATTGGCATAAGCCGCTCTGGCTTTCACTATACGTGGATTGATCTCATCACTCACACCCTCACCAGCACTTATGCAGCTACCTAGATACACGAACTTCTCGACTACTTCTATCTGCTCACCATCCAGGGTGAATACAGGATTATAAACCTGCCAGTCTTGTAGAAGTACTTTGCACTTCGAAGGTGCAAAGCACATACCATACCTACGGACACTGATTGCCAACTGATTAAGTGCGGATTGCATGCCTTGGGCATTATCGCACAGTAAGACAATATCATCTGTATACTCAAGATCGAGAAGTGTTTCTCCAGGCAACAGATCCACACCACCATTACTTACATCCATCAGAGCTGCTTCCAGAGTGTCATCGATGGCAAAGTTGAAGAGGAATGGTGAGGTTGGGCAACCCTGCCTAACCCCACTGCTCGAATGGAACAATGGAGAGAGGTGGTTGTATGCACACAGAGTGGAAATAAGAGAGAGTGAATAAGTGACGTAGTGAATAATAATAATATATGAATAATAATGTGAATCGTTTAACTGTTAATCGAAGCAAGAATAGTATTTTCCATAAGTATCGTCATTTCATTCTATTTGTGTGTGTGCTGTGATACTGCCTGGGTGCCCAGACCGAAGCAGGTGGTTTTCTAAAGGGGTCACACCCCGAGCCTTTGACCTGAAGGTCTGACCCACAATGCAGTGGAGTTTCGTTTGGAGATGCAGTCCCATGGTAGCCGGTAACCAACAATTGGTTCAAGCGCCGGACATTCGCTTTTCATCCTCTCATTTTCGTAAACAGTACCCCTGGTGTGAGAAGGCAGTGAGTAGAACTTTCCTGGCAGAGGCTGTATACGCGTGGCCGTGTGAGAGAATTTCGAGAGGGAGGGCGGGCCCTCTCATCTCTCGGCCATACCAGGGCATTCGGGGACGGATACATTGTAGTATGCCTAAATTACTGTATATGACTTACTGTTCTCTTTCCAAGAGTTTTCTGTAGATGGTAATTTGTGAAGTGTCTTATGAGGTGCCTCTGTTAAGTTTATATCTTAAGGTTTTGTTAAATGCACTTCAGTTAAGGGATCGTACTGCTTTCAATCAAGCCTTTTTTAAGCCTTCAAATTTTGCTACACATTTTGTTGTAACAGAATATTTAAAAAACTGGTCATATTCGTTAACGTTCAGCAAAATTCATTCTCCAGTGTTGCCACTTGGGCAGGGGCTATTCTGTATGACTGAAGACTATTTCGGTCAACTAAGGAAACAATAGGATAAAATAACTGTCTTATGAAACTGAAAACCTAACATAAAAATACGTTCGGTTAAATTACCAGAATTCATGTTATTTCCTATCAACTTGTCTTGATACCAACTGAATACAAAATTGATCTCACAAGATGAATCACATAAAATACTGTATGACATGTTTCTGAGTTGAATAAAAGATGAAAATTTTCCATTTATCAAAAACCCTAATAAAATTGCACGTTTAATTTTATTTCTCATCGAGATTTGTATAGCAAATTACTTGGATTAATTTGTAAATAATTTTTTAGTGGATGGAAATGTTCCAAATGTGATTTGAGAGATAATCTGTGGATGAATCTTACTGACGGAACCATACTTTGTGGTCGAAAATTTTGGGATGGGTCTGGAGGAAATAATCACGCTTTGGAACATTATGAAAAGACCAAGTATCCGCTAGCTGTCAAACTTGGAACTATAACTCCCAAGGTACTATAATAACTTTTAAATGCATCAGCATATATCACACATTCGGGTGATGTGAATCTTTAATAACAGCAGTTTTATGTAGTCCCTTAATCCATTACGTACAGTATTTATACATACCCTAAAGTTTCATATAAAGGGTTTTATTTGTGTCATTCGTTTGTTAGTTTTGCTGGAGTAACACATCTAAATGTTTTATTCATAAATCCCACTTGTTAATCAACAATATCAAACCGTTCAGTTATAATCGCTATATCAACTACTTAACTGCTTAGTGGTTAACATGGAAATATAGAATGCATACTTTTTCACTAATAAATCTTCGTTTCAATACTTCTATATCGCTCCCGGTCTGTTATTTTTCTGGTGTCATCAGTTGGTTTACTGGCTCAACAAGACGAAATAGTGTACGGTATTGTAGGACTTATCCGTTAGATCGATGAGCATCAACTAGCGAAACTTTGATCTGCTCTGTTCTTTGAAATACGTTCTTTCATCGTATCAATCAATCAATCATAATCCATTGACTAGATAGTGATCACAGTATCCCCAAAAATATTGTCATTGTCTAACGGATGGAAAATAAAGTTTTCAGATATTTTTGTCTTTGCATGATTTCTTGTCTATATTTTATGTGCAAACAGACCTCTAAAGCAGTCTGTATTGATATACATAAAGGATATCACGAAATCATTTGATCCTCATTGGAATCGTCACGATAATACATTAATACATAGCTAGCGTCAAACTATGCCGGAAATACAACACTGTCTTCTATTCCTTGTAACTGGAAAAATGCACGTTAAGAAACGGTTACGGACTGTTGTTTGCTTTCTAGCTTAAATAGTCATATAATCATTCGTTTCATGATTGAGGTATGCTACACATATATTTCTCCCACAATTTCTACATTTTAAAGGGTGGAGAAGTATTTTCATATCCTGAAGATTCAATGGTAACCGACCCGAAATTAGCAGAACATCTTGCTCACTTCGGTATTGATGTAATGCTTATGCAAAAAACCGATAAAACGATGGCCGAGTTAGAAGTGGATGCAAATGAGAGACTTGGAGAGTGGCTAACATTGCAGGAATCAAACCGTACACTTGAAGCACGTTATGGTCCAGGTATGACTGGACTTAGAAATCTCGGTAATACTTGTTACATGAATGCTGTGTTACAGGTTAGTCAGTAATGTTATGTGTAAAAACTATAATTTTCCCATAGTTGTTCCTATGAATTTGTAATACAACCCAATAACTAAGTTCAGGTTTATTTTATTGGTGGGACAATGATTCTACCCAGTTGTTTGAATTAAAATAGGTGGATCGAAGTTAGAATTTACGAATCACTGAATAAAAGTCGCTTTTCTCAACCATTACGCCAGTATTCTATAATAATATCAAAGTGCTTGTCAAACAAATGGTCATTGGTTTTGCATTTTAGTTGTTCATTAAAGAGATTTTTATGCCATTCTTGTATATCTAGTTGTGTATGATATTCGAGACTGTAACTACAGATAGCTTTTTGCTCTGATGTCAGTTGTTGCACAATTAGAGATAGTGTTCCTAAATAACTCTCAGTGGTTTGATCAGTTCCAAGTAATTAATGTCATTCATGATTTTCACTTCATTTACATCGTCATAATCATATACTTTTTGAAAAAAACATATCACCTACGTGTACTGATTCATTTGATCTTTTATCCCGAAATTTAGGTTTGTCCATCTGATACTTGTAGGACACTAAACAAATGATTGTCCCCTTTGTATTACTTGTCATTACCCCAATATAATATAATTAATCGCACTATTGATACTATCACATGATTCGGCTGTTCGTTTTGTTTTACTTTACGGCTGCGAAACATGGCCATTAAGAGTTGAAGCTACTAGTATTTGACCACAGATACCTTAGAAATATTGCTTTCACCTGCTGTGATCACCGGGTAAGTAATAGTGAGGTTAGACGCAGGGCATTAGGGAACGATGGTAAATCAGTTAATGAAGTTGTGAATCTTCATCGACTGAGACTGTTGGGTCACGTGTTGCGTATGCCTGAACCCGTTTAGCACGACGCGCAATGCTAACCGGTGTTGGGGATGGTTAGAAGAAAGTTAGGGGCGGCCAAACCAAAATGTAGCATCAGTCCTTGAAGTTGCCAAATTTTGGTCTGAGTCATGTTGGTAGATGCAGACTACTTGGTTGGGGTCATCGTGAGTATCGTAACCAGTGGTTGGAGACAGTTGGTGACATGGCTCAGAATCGATCACGATGGCATCGATGTATACACCCTCTGTCTTTCTTTAAACTAAGAGATTAAAATTGCTTCATATCTTTCTTTCTATGAACTAATTCTTTCTTCCTGTACTATACCCTATATGCAATCTTTCTTTTATATATTACTACCATTGAGTTAACTGTTTCTATGAATCCGGTGTTCATCTTACTGTGCTAATACGGTATGGTAACTTGGACCGATGCATATATGTGCCTGGTCCTGCGTTGTAGCTGACTGACTGAAATGATTCTTAACACCGACTATATTTACTTCTTTTTGTTTGGTATTTTATCCGTTGGGTAGTCGATCTGAAATTCCGAACAAATTTGTAAGTATTTCGTCATCTTTCAAAAACACACATTTGGACAGTAGGACCCTAAGTTTATTGATCTTATCAGTTGTCACTTGTCAGTAATTGTTCTATTGACTGATCATTGATTAGTTACCACTATAAAACTTATGTACTACTCAACCGGATTTTCTTCAATTTCTTTGGATTTTGAGGTCGTGTTTTTATCATGGGACTTTTCCAAATGTTCTTTGACGATGTATTTGGTGCACCTGATAGGCTTTAGACTTAGTGATAATGTGATTGTATCATTTACTCTATTTTGAAGCTTAGCTTAGTGGTTTATATTGTTTCCTGATAATTCATTAACTATTCCTATTCAGTTTTTTGAAATTAGCAAACTTTAGGATATACAATACTGACCTATAAAAACCACTAGTAATTACTAGTCAGTTTGAAGTGATTTAGATTTTATACATCAGTTCTACTTGTTTGACATCGAGTTACTCATTATTAAACTCAACTTTACTCAACATAAAAGATTTAAGTTGTCTCAGTCAATTCTATTGTAACCAGCTTCACCGAAATGTTTATCATCCTTACATCAAATTAGGAATATTTTTCTTCTAAAACTCATAAAATGAAGAGCGAGGAAGAGGAGCAGGACATGATGGATTAATCCTTGATATTTTTAAGAATAGTGGCCCAGTTTTAGCATTCAGATTATCTGTGATCTTGGCTAGAATTTGTGAACTAGACTTAATCCCGTCGACTGGACATAATCACTAATCGTCCCGGTCTGTAAGGAAGGACAAAATTCCTTTCGTGGTAATCACAGAGGAATCAGTTTAATTAACATTGTGTCCGAAATATTAATACATTGGCATCTAACTAGGGCTCGTAAAGAGCAAATTCGAGAAAACCTGACTGGTTTCAAACCTGGACGTAGATATACAGACTAAATATTCACCACTTGGAAGATTTCGGAACATATACATACTTTTCGACGTTCGAAAATAATCGTACTTCCTGACTTTAAGGCGGCGTCTGACCCTTGATCACAAGGTTCCATGTCTGTGTATGTCATTAAAATGCGTCCCAAGAAAGCACATTTACCTTATACAGTGTCTCTACTCGAACACTACTGATCGAGTTGGGGCTTATGGCGAACTGTTGTTGGAATTGATTAATTCAAGTGACGTTCGTCAGGGTTTTCTGCTTTCCCCATTCTTACATATCTTGTCATAGACATGCTTTAAAATAACACTCATCGTTTGACTTTTCAAGGATTGACCTTCCTGGAGATCCTTTTGTTAACGTAGAATATACAAATGAAATAGTTCTGTTTGGTAGACTGAAAAAACTAGTCCTCTGACCACCTTAAGCAAAAATGCAAAGATGTTTCGGATGAGATTCTCTCCTTCCAAATATTGCTTCAGAATTGGCTTTTATCGGTGCATGAACAAATCTGGGTTGGGAGTTAGGCACTAAACAAGGATGAGAAACAGAATTATAAGGTACTAAATATTTACCAACTAAAGTGGTTGGGACATGTGCTACACACGTCCAACCACCGCATGCCTCGACGGATTGTGTTCTCTGGTGCTGAAAGAAACACAGCGACGGACAAACCTAGACATTCTATCAGTCCATGAAGTCATTGACAATAGGTGTAGATTACCTGATTCGGGTCCGCGTGATTGGCATAACTAATGGTTAGAAACTTTACATGACATTGCTTGAAATTGTTTGCGATGTTGCATGTGCATCCATTCTTTATCTTTCTCTAAATTCTGAGTTCCTAACTTCCTCACAATGTTTTGGTTCTTATTTTCCTAATTTAGATTTTCTTCTCGAATCGTATCTTCGATGTCTAATGTTTTCTACTACCCCTAATACTGTTACTATCTCCACTATTCTGAGGCTTGGTTGAACAATTTCATCTATCTGTGCTAATGGTGTGTGTGAACTTGACCTGGTGTACATGCTTACGATGTTCTGCTGTGGTACTGACCGACTGAAATTGATAAAGTCAAAATTCTCCGATCACAGTTTGCATGTGGGAAAGAGTAAAAGAGAGAAGTAGTTCTTGAGTTTATATAACCTGTTTAGTATGGTGATTGCTTTGTGTTATATATTTTTTGATTAAGTATTTGTATCAGTAGTCACTGTCTCATATATTGACTATTTTTTCCATTTGATTTTAACATCAGGTTCTGTTTTCAATCTCACAATTTCGTTCATATTATGCCTATCAATTGCCAGTTTGGTGTGAGGAAGCATTGGATCAATTCACTTCTGAAGATCATCCACTTCTACCAGTAGATCATATTGGTCTACAATTTTCGAAATTAGGACATGGTCTTTGTTCAGGTGTTCATTCATGGTTAGTTCCAAATAATCTTAGTCATACTACTACAGGTGGTCCTGTACCTATTCTCCCGGGTGAGTTTGGTCAGTTTATAATTAAGATTACTGTCATGTTTAACAGTCATTTCTGGTATGTTAATGAGATACCTATTATACTTTATCCCTCAAATGTCCTTGTACGTTCAAGAGTAGGGAGAGTCTGCGCTCCCTCGCGAAATGCTCTTGTATGGCTACACATAAATAGCCACAACCAGAAAGGTCCCACTCACTACCTTATCACAGCGATGCTTTTTTAATGAAATTGAAAGAACCAAAAGCGAATGTCCGGTGCATAAACCGGGTTGGTGGGTACAGAGGATCCACCTAAAGGAGCCGGAAATCTTTGATTTCAAAACGATAATGCATATGGACTCCAGCATCCTGAGGGAACAAATGGTATCTGAACCTATCACTGGTCACCGGCTACCATGAGACTGCATCTCCTAACTTTTCTTGACTATCTTGTGGGTTAGACTTTCATGTGAAGTGCTCGGGTTGTGGCCCTCTAAAAAACCACCTGCTTCGGTTCAGACACCCGGACAATATCCTTGCCATCACACCGCCTTAATCAGATATGTGCGCTGTATTCCTTTCAATGATTCTGTTTCATTACCACTTTGAAAACGTCTGGTAGAGAAATATTTACTGTGTAGACGTTTTTTATATTATTTATTTTGCATTGATTGTTTAATACATTGTGATTGAGTGCGCATAGATGAATTATCATCGAATCTGTTGTGATCTTCAGTGAAATCTTGTATTAATTATTTGTTATCTGATAAGTAAGTCAGTCATTATATTATAATATCATGATATACATAGTCTGTTCATTGATTACATAAATCGATAACATACAAGGTTTGTCTTACAACATTCAAGGTACACTAACTCTGCTTTGTTCCATCTCCGTTTCCATTGTTTAAAACGTTTCCAAAAGTCCTCAAATGTCAAGCTCTTCAGATATTTTCCCGCTTCATGTTATACTAGCATCGAATCACGGATGTTCTATGTTTCTCTCAATTCTATCGAGTGTCGTCCTAGACTTGCACCATGTACACAGTCTTCATAAGCATAATTGAAACACTTGCTTGGGTCAAAAAGAGTCGTTTAATTCATTTTACCTTCTCCACCAATGATTATCAATCCTTCGCCAATTTTCTTGAGAGTTTACTTAAGTTTCATATCGTGCATTGATAATCAAACATTGTTATTGACTCACGAGGTAAAGGCTCGTGTATTTGGCTTTGAGCCACACTGTCAAGTGTTAGAGGTAGTAATGCTATCTGACTGTCCTAATTGAAGTAGGCGAAGCTGGGTTTGAACCTGTGGCTTAGTAGCTAAAAGTCGGATGTCTTTGTTACTGAACCACCGATCCACACGTATATTGATTGAATATTGTCATTTATATTTAGTCGGTTAATTGTTAATACTAGCTTATGAAATTTATTCGGTTGAAATCGAGAGTCGATTATTTAAATAGATTATATGTCTAATTACTCCATCTATTACAGCAATTTCATTAGTCAATAGTTGTTATTCCTCTTATTCACTTTTTGGGAGGTAATAGACTTTCGGCTTATGATAATTTTTATTTAACGAATTATTTTCATACATTGAAAATGAAACATGCACAGGTATACGTCCAATTTTGTTTCGTCGATTAATGGGCGCGCATAATTCCACATTTGCCACAAGACAGCAACAAGATGCTTGCGAATTTTTAATCTATCTATTAGATTTATTAGAACAAAAGGCTAATAGACAAGAACACGGAAAAGTACACCCAAGTAATGTGATGCGTTTTGGTGTGGAAGAACGTCTTCAATGTGGTTTGACAAATAAGGTAAGTTGATGGTTGCTCCACCTATATGTGCGTTTGTCTCGCTTTTGATAGACTTACCAAGTAGTGGCTCAGTATTGAAGGTATTCAACTTCCAGACCACTAAGTTACAGATCTAAACGCTCTTCAAGCTACTTTGTTTTGAGCAATCGGGTAGCATCGGTAACATTTATACCTAGAGTGGGGTTTAAGGACAAGTTAACGAATATTTACCTGGTTACTGAGTTATTTGTACTACATTGAACAATATGAAACTACCTGAAGTTATAATGTTTATTTATCAGACTTTGATCTAGTCCGTTGAGCTGTATATTACCAGTGATGTACTGTTTATCTCATTTTGCAGAAATTGTTTCCACACATCCGCACTGATTTACTTGTCAAGAAAGATTTGTATTTGATAACTTACTAACTGTTAGTCAATTGGCCATTGCTTTAAGCTTACTCAATGTAATTATCATAGACACGAAACAGTCTATTTTTCGTCGTTTCACAATGTCGAATTACATGGCGAAAAATTGGTCACAGTGGCCCAAATGCGGCCATTCTCTATCTTTCCCATTTATTGTGAGCTCAATACCATTTTCCTAACTTAACATTCTGCAACCGAATTTGTTCTTTTCAAAGTGCATATCTCATGTGAGACAAGTTAAACCGCCAGGTCTTACATTGATAATAACCGACTCTTTCCAATAATTTTGAGAAGGGTTAAAGTTCAATTATTTTAGAGGGAACATTATTAACTGACAATGTTGTTGGTATAGGATTTATATTAATTTTTTTTTAATGTTTCATACGTACTGTAATGCGAAAGTGTATAGGCCAATAACATATTTCAACAAGACTATTTACTGAACTTCGTATTAAATCATAAGGTCATGTTATTATTGAATCAATTAAACTAGTGGCCAGCCACTGTAGTCTAATCAAAAGTACTTGCTCAGTGCTGTGTGATATATAATACAAAGTGCAATAAACTATACTCTTTGGATAAACGATCTCTGTGATTTTGTTTTAATTGCCACATTTCTCACTCTCTCCCAACACCTTACACTTCACAACAACAGGTCTCGTATAAAACTGATCATGAATGGATTCTTTCAGTTCCAGTTCCAATGGAAGCGGTAACAAATCAAAAAGCATTAGACAATTATGAAAAACGACGTGTTGACGCTGAGTTAAATGGTATACATTTATCACCCGAAGAGGTTGTACGACCAATTATTCCTATGGAAGTAAGCAATAAAACGTATAAATAGTATAATTGATATTTATTCACTTGTAGTTATTACTTTATGTGTATTTTCCTTACTATAATTCTACCACATTTATTATTTGCACAATAGCTTATGTTTTCCTGAGTTATACAGAATAATAGTAATCAGTCAACGAATGTAAACAAGGTGATTGTAAGTGCTGTTAGAGGTATGAGAGTGGTTGTCGATTTCTGATTTCCCACAATAAAATGATATTTCTTCCTAAGGTAAAGAGAACTCGTTTAGTAACGGTTTAAATGATTGAATAACCTGACTACAGGACTCAAAGAACACTTACTTGAAACCGATCATTTTGTCAGTAGTTTCTGATAAGTTATCTCCATACTTTTAAGACCCTATCTCTGATAACAAAAATACGTTAGTCGACTTTCTCTAATCCTCCCCTTCCGTAGTGAGAAGGAAGCATGTGTGCAAATTTTAATTGTCTGAAAAAAATACCATCCTGCCATCACGCTTTACTGCGGTCAGCTATAAAATGTGTACCTCAAATCTTAAGTTTGTTACTTTTAATTTCTCTACTTTCCAACCAACCTATACGGTGTCGTATAATCCATAGGAATGAATATTCAAACCAGTATATGTAGGCCTGACCTCTACGTCAAGTTAATAGCCACATTCGGGAATTATTTAATAAGATCCCAAGTTATATGTAACTACACAACCAGTCAATTTGCAGCAATTAATGTGAATTATAATCTACGAATGATGTTGAAAATTCACGTCTATAACTAATTTAATTTTGTTTTAAAATAAATAGAAAAAGTAACAATTCGTTAGTCAAACAAATCATTCGAGATATTACATAATTGTTAAATCACTTCTATTACCAACTAATGTTTCTATTGCTTTCCAGTTCTAGCCAACATGGTTATCATTTTCTCATATAATTTTGATCAACTACCATTCAATATCATACCCTGATATGATTTCCAAGCTTTAATTAAGGTATATTTTTAGCGTACACCTGCTCGAATCAAAGTATTATATCTCAAAGTACAAGCAATCACTGACGCGTGTATAGTTGAATAACTAAGTAATTAATAGTTAAGACATGCGTAACACATGTTCACCGACTATCTCGATATTGAGTGCTGATTAGTGTTAAAGTAAATTGATCTAGTAGCAACTACATTATTTTACTGCATGAGGATGTCCAGATTACCTTATCAGGACTCAACGGATAATCATGTTCATTAATAATTCTGTTGTCGATTAATAAAAATTTGTTAGTAACAATTGGTGAGTAAAATAACGTCTCCCTACCATTATTATTACTTTTTTTTTCATTAATAATATTTCTAGGCTTGCCTGTCGGCTTGGGCTGAAACAGAACAAATTAATGATTTTAAAACACCAGCAAGTCAACCTCCAGGTGCCAAAACATTCGCTTTACGTTCTAATCGTTTAACAAATTTTCCAAACTATTTATGTATACAAGTTGGACGATTTACTGTTGGTACAGATTGGCTTCCGAAAAAATTGGATGTAGATATCGAATTAAAATCATCTGTTGGAAATCATGGTAATACAGAATGGTTTATTGATTTAAATGGTTTACGTGCACCGAATGGTAGTAGACCATTGCCTGGTGAACAATTAATGCCAACTGGAGATGAAATCAAATGTGAGTTTAACGCACAGATTTTTTCACTTGTGTGTTTTAATAAATTAAACCTGTACATTTCCAGTCGGTTTCGGATTCGACCCTTCAACTCTATCTAACTTGATAATTTAAATAATCAGTTACTTGTGTGTATTACAATGAGTCTATGTTATCTACACCTGCTATTTTTGAAGAGATTACGATATCACATAACCTGCAAGGCGGTACGAGGTCAGCAACAAAATAACAGGACAAGCTAAACTATTCCAATGCACCCCAGCCCTGCTAACTAGAGGAAGAAGACCAGATTCAACTGGGGGAAATGTATATTCCACAAGCAGCCAGAACCATGAACAAACAAGCACACAACTCAAGCGTATATAAACAGTATCCTTGGGAAAAGTCACAGAATAGCGTGTTAAAAGAAGAAAAAGAACCAATAACATTTAGGTCCTTCCAGGCGGGAAATACGAACTAAAGGTCGGGACTGGCGCTTTTATTATCCTCTTAAAATATATTAGATAATTATGTTTAATAATATTACTTCGATAATTTTGCCTTTGCTAAGCTAAATATTTGTGCGTGTACATTATACTGCTTATACTTCTGAATTATGATAATGAAATCGGTGATATAAATTTTTCGTTATGTTATCAGGATATCGGTTCTTGTGAGTAGTTTAACCTAAAAATATGTGAACGTATTTCTCATGATATCTGAGAAATTTTTTTTAGAATATTTACCAAAGTTCACTCATTCATTAACCTCTTAGTTTGTGGTGCTGTCCAAACAAGCGCAAAATGCACTTATAGGATGGGAATCTCATGGACCAAGGATCATCAAAGCCTTGTTTAAAACAAAGAAAGAGGGCATTTCAATGAACATCATCCAATGCTATGCGCCTACCAACGACTACAATGAAGACGCTAAAGATCAATTCTACAATAGGCTGCAGTCAATAGTCGAGAAGTGCCCAACAAAGGACCTGACCATTCTGATGAGAGATTTCAATGCCAAGGTTGGAACGGACAACACTGGATATGAAGACATCATGGGACGACACGGACTTGGAGAAAGGAACGAAAATGGTGAGAGATTTGCAAATCTATGTGCCTTCAATAAGCTGGTCATAGGCGGCACCATATTCCCACATAAACGCATACACAAAACCACATGGACTTCACCGGATCACTCTACACAAAACCAAATCGACCATATTTGCATCAACAAAACGTTCAGGAGGACTATAGAGGACGTGAGAACCAAGAGATGAGCTGATATAGCATCAGATCATCACTTACTGGTCGCCAAGATGAAATTGAAACTCAAGAAGCACTGGACAACGGGGCGGACAGTATCACAAAAGTTCAATACGGCCTTTCTCCAGGATACTAACAAACTCAACAAATTCAAGGTAGTCCTCAGCAACAAGTTCCAGGCCTTTCGTGATCTACTCAATGGAGAAGGAACTACTGTGGAGAGCAACTGGAAGGGGATCAAAGAGGCAATCACTTCAACATGTCATGAGGTCCTGGGTCACAAGAAGCACCACCACAAGGAATTAATCACTGTTGGTACACTGGATAAGATTCAAGAAAGGAGGAACAAGAAGGCAGCGATCAATACCAACCGAACAAGAGCAGAAAAAGCCAAGGCACAAGCTGAATACACGGAAATAAACAAACAAGTGAAGAGGAGCATCAGAACCGACAAACGTAAATATGTGGAAGATTTAGCAAGGACGGCGGAAAAGGCTGCAAGAGAAGGAAACATGAGACAATTGTATGACACGACGAAGAAACTCTCTGGAAATCGCCGCAAACCAGAACGACCAGTGAAAAGCAAGGAAGGCGAGGTAATCACCAACAATGAAGAACGGCGAAACAGGTGGGTAGAACACTTCAAAGAACTCTTGAATCGACCAGCCCCACTGAACCCACCCAACATCGAAGCAGCACCCACGGACCTCCCAATCGATGTTGGCCCACCAACAATTGAAGAAATCAGCATGGCCATCAGACAAATCAAGAGTGGCAAAGCAGCGGGACCGGACAACATCCCAGCAGAGGCACTAAAAGCAGACGTAGCGGCAACTGCAAGGATACTCCACATTCTCTTCAATAAGATTTGGGATGAGGAACAAGTACCAAAAGACTGGACAGAAGGACTCCTGATCAAAATACCGAAGAAAGGCGATCTCAGCAAGTGTGATAACTACAGGGGCATCACTCTTCTCTCAATACCGGGAAAAGTCTTCAACAGGGTATTGTTAAACAGGATGAAGGACTGCGTAGACGCCCAACTTCGTGACCAACAGGCAGGATTCCGTAAGGATAGATCGTGTACAGACCAAATCGCAACTCTACGGATCATTGTAGAACAATCAATTGAATGGAATTCATCACTCTACATCAACTTCATTGACTACGAAAAGGCATTTGATAGCGTGGACAGAACAACACTATGGAAACTTCTTCGACACTACGGCGTGCCTCAGAAGATAGTCAATATCATACAGAACTCATATGATGGATTACACTGCAAAATTGTGCATGGAGGACAGTTGACAAAGTCGTTCAAAGTGAAGACCGGTGTTAGGCAAGGTTGCTTACTCTCACCCTTTGTCTTTCTCCTGGTGATCGACTGGATCATGAAGACGTCAACGTCTGAAGGAAAGCGCGGGATACAATGGACATCTAAGATGCAGTTGGATGACCTAGACTTCGCAGACGATCTGGCCCTTCTATCCCAAACGCAACAACAGATGCAGGAGAAGACAAACAGTGTGGCAGCAGCCTCAGCAGCAATAGGTCTCAATATACACAAAGGGAAAAGCAGGATTCTCCGATACAACACAGAATGCACCAATCCAATCACAATTGACGGAGAAGATTTGGAACATGTAAAAACCTTTACATGTTTGGGCAGCATCATTGATGAACAGGGTGGATCTGATGCAAATGTGAAGGCGCGGATCGGCAAAGCAAGAGCAGCATATTTACAACTGAAGAACATCTGGAACTCAAAGCAACTGTCAACCAACACCAAGGTCAGGATTTTCAATACAAATGTCAAGACAGTTCTACTGTATGGGGCAGAAACCTGGAGAACTATAAAAGCCATCATCCAGAAAATACAGGTGTTTATTAACAGTTGTCTACGCAAAATACTTCAGATCCGTTGGCCGGACACTATTAGTAACAACGTACTGTGTGAGAGAACAAACCAGATCCCAGTGGAGGAAGAAATCAGGAAGAAGCGCTGGAAGTGGATAGGACACACATTGAGGAAAGCACCCAACTGCGTCACAAGACAAGCCCTCACATGGAATCCTGAAGGTCAAGAGAGGAGAGGAAGACCAAAGAACACATTACGCCGAGAAATGGAGATAGACATGAGAAAAATGAACAAGAATTGGATGGAACTAGAAAAGAAGGCCCAGGACAGAGTGTGTTAGAGAATGCTGGTCAGCGGCCTATGCTCCATTGGGGGTAACAGGCGTAAGTAAGTAAGTAAGTAAGTGTACGTTTGTGTGGTTGATACTTCTCAGTTACACTAGCATCATGAAAAGAAATCCCTCTTTGAAGGAATTGAGGAAGAAGACGGATGAGTATCAAAGGCTTAGTCAACATTGTAATATAGCTTCAGGAGTCAAGAAGAGAAATTGATTCGGAGATGCTACAACGATTTCGTTTTTTAAAGTATGTTAGCTCTATCGACTTTTTAAACTCTAACATCTGATATTCGTGGATCGAACAATAAGTCATGGTGGTTTGTTTATTCGATCTTATCCGTCTCATTCTTTTCGGTTTCGAAAAGACAGCATCGCCAGAGATGTTGGTTTTCCTTCAAAATTTTCGCTAACGTCGCATCCCAGTACAACTGATTCTACGGCATTTCACTAGGATTTTAAATTTTTCGTTTTTACCTATTCATCATCTAACCTAGCTTTCTCGAACAATAGGTCAATGAGTATGTTTTGTTGTCAATACACACATTAATTGTATTGTTAATTCAAAGAAATTCTTCCTTGTTCTTTCCAAACATTATCATATAGCTGAACAAATGAAAACTGATGATGATGATGATGATGTACAACCGGATGTAACAATTATCAATGATCTGTTAGTTATGGGTTTCACTTTGGAAGCAGCACAGAAAGCTTGTAAATTTACACGAAATACTAGTGTAGAAAATGCTACCAATTGGTTAATGGAACATTTAGACGATCCAGATTTAAACGATCCGTTGTCACCGCCCAGTGGTTATCAGCAACAAAATAAACAGAAACAACCAGTAGCTGGGTCCGTCACTTCTACAAATATTGACGAAAACGCAGTTGAAATGATGTTGGCTATGGGATTCAGTAGACAACAGGTTGGTGAAAGTATATTCCTAATTTGATAAAATAATGAGTTAATGATCGATAGTGTTAAGAAGAATATTTAGTAAATTACTCAATAATATTTTTTAACCTAACTTGTTTCAGTCATTTTATTGTCATTTGAAAACTTGAACTAGTGCTTAATGTTTTTAGTAGTAGTATAAAGCTTCAATATACCGTCCTTCTGGTTAACTGTTTGCTGAAGTATTTTACTAGCATCTCTTTAGATTACAGGCTCAAATCTCTATTCACCTATTTCAATTGATACAATTAAGTAGTATCACTAGCCGTCAGACAAAATGTCGGAGTCCAATCCAAGTACATAAATGTGTGTTTAGTTTGTAATTGTTATTTTTGTATCATTATAAACACGTTATGTCTCTAACAATGTATTTTGTTATACGATACTCTCTCAGACAGGTATGTAGTGTCCTTTTTATTGCGTTATATGTATGCATAACACCTAACTCGTTTTTTGTGATTACATGTGACTGTTACCTCATTACCGGCTGAATATCGAAGTTTTATATCCGGATTTATCCATCTCACCAGTCGAACTTCCATATCTGCTTAAAACATTATACTTAACTCTACAATCACTGTTTTTGTGGTTCCACCACTTACGAACAATCCTTCAACATCACCTGTAATTAAATGTTAAGATCTTGTGTAGAAAGAGTACTAAAAGCATCAGAGGATTTTTGGAAGCTTGGCACTCAGATTAATCAGCAATCAACAAACACATTGAAACTGATGCAGTCTATCAACCAATCAGAAAAATAATAGACGAATATAGAATCAAGAATCATACCAAAGGGGAGATACAATCAAACTAAAGAGGCAGATAATAACAGGTTGAAGATCAACAATAACCAGTCAAGATCAAGGTCTACAGGACAAGTTATGGGTAATTTGTGGGGAAATTCGAGCACCTCAATTCTACCTGTTGTTTTTGCTGATGATGCTCTTCAGAAGAACAATGAAAGTTCCACAACTGAACCACCCAACTCCGCGAACAAAACTACATCTGAATCACCTGTAATCATTTACTTGCATTCTACACATGCCTTCAATTTTTTTATGCCCCCATGATCACATATATTGTTCAGTATAATATTTGAATCTGTTTCAAGTAGATAAATACCTCTTCTGGACATAAGTTAATATAAGTTGGTAAACTTCAATCACAGATTATTCAGTTCTATAGTATTACAACTTTTCAATAAATATAATTTCATAATTGAAATGAGGGTTCATAAATTAGAAACCAGTATTTTATATACTAATCCATTCATGATTCAGTATTATCAGTAGATAGACACTGGACAATTTTTAACTTTAAAAGTTCTCTCTTTAAAATTCATCAACAGTAAATGTAATCTTACCAACTTTTAAAAATTGAATACATTAAGTAGTCCAGTCCATACTTTTGATGAAACAGGTTGTTAATCAATGTACACTTTTATGTTCCTTATCAAAATAGTATTCAACTTTAATATGTATTGTGCTAAACAAATGTCCTGGTATAGCCGAGGTTAGGGGGAGTCTACTCTCCCACTCTAAATTCTCTTGTATGGTTACACACAAATAGCCACAAGCAGAAAAGTCCCACTCACTGCCTTATCACAGCGGTGTTTTTTTTAATGAAATTGAAAGAACCAAAAGCGAATGTCCGGTGCATAAACCGGGTTGGTGGGTACAGAGGATCCACCTAAAGGAGCCGGAAATCTTTGATTTCAAAACGATAGTGCATATGGACTCCAGGATCCTGAGGGAACAAATGATATCTGAACCTATCACTGGTCACCGGCTACCATGGGACTACATCTCCTAACTCTTCTCCACTACCTTGTGGGTTAGACTTTCATGTGAAGAGCTCGTGTTATGGCCCTCTAAAAACCACCTGCTTTGGTTTAGGCACCCGAACAGTATCTCTGTCCTCACACAAATCGGAACATTTTTGAGGTGCATATATATTTGGTACTAATATTTATGTGTTTAAATATATAAATAAAATGTTTCGTTTCTGTTTTTGTTTTGTTGAACACATTGTCAGTTTTTACCTTTCTCAAACAGTGTCTATACACGTAAATATCACATGAGCATGAGTATTAAAAACCACATGATATGTTTTTGTTCTTTTTTTTCTTTTCTTAAAATTTTCTATCGACGTAAATATTGATGAAATAAGAGAGAGATAGAGCTAGCGAAATTGTGAATACTTCATCCAATAATCCACTGGTATGAATTAATCATTCTTCAGACTAACAAAATATAAACCACACACACTCTTGATGGTAATTAGTGAGTGCACTAAAAATAATAAAATAACATTAACTAATCAGAAATGTAATTGAGTACGGTAGTAATAGTTTAGAATTTAACGGAAAATAAGTAATCACATCAATGAGATGCATTTGACTATACTTTGACACAATTTATTTAGTGGGAAAACATGTTGACTGTAACAAATTTTGATTTCCAGTTTGTAAGACAACATCAACAAGAAGTAACATAAGCTGATTGCTTATTTATTGTCTTACAATATCAGGCCAACCATAACCGCTAACATAAGATGCGGCTTCGACCAAATTACTATAACACATTAACGTAGAAAAAAAGAATGATGAAACGACTGACACAAGTAATCGATATGTTGTAGTAGCAATGATAATGAGAAAAACTAAACATACTGAGAATATGGTTTAAAAAGATAAAATGAAAAGATCTGTATGAAGGAATATTGAAATTTATGATGTATACGAAAATAAACAGTAGATGCACATCTTTATCATTATGATCTATCCTGAGTCATGTTATCCGACATCTCCAATCAATGATTGTCGTTATCAAACCGACGTCAATCAGTTTTACTTTATCAACATGCCTCAGATCACTAGTTAATGAGTTCATGAGCGACTATCAATAACTGGAATATATCACAACATCATGTGTAATCCACACATATTTATTGTGGTTGTAGCTGGCCCCCAAATGCCATGGTATGGCCGAGAGTGGGGTGGGTTAGCCCTCCCTCTCGAAATACTCTCACACGGCCACGCGTATACAGCCTCTGATAGGGAAGTCCTACTCACTGCCTTCTCACACCAGGGGTGCTGTTTACGAAAATGAGAGGATGAAAAGCGAATGTCCGGCGCTTTAACCGGATTCCAAACCAATGGTGCACATGGTCTCCAGTATCCTGCGGGAACGAATGGCGTATAAACCAATCGTTGGTCACCGGCTACCATGGGATTGCATCTCCTCACGATGCTCCACTGCATTGTGGGTTAGACCTTCAGGTCAAAGGCTCGGGCTGTGGCCCCCTAAGAAAGCCACCTGCTTCGTTCTGGGCACCCGGGCAGTATCACAGCCCACACACACACAAATATGGTGTGGCGCATATATATTTGGTGCCCTCTTGTACCATTATTTATGTGTTGAAATAAATAAAAGGTTACTTTCACCCTCACAACAATAATGGAATCCAGAGGATATATATATATATATATGCACATCTTTTGATGTTTATCGACTGTTTGAAATTGTTCCATTGATCATAATATAAATCAATAATATGTATTAAAAAAACTTGTTTCTAAACTAATTAATAAGCGAATAGTGAAATCAGCTGATTGTAAGTATATTGAACTGCAACAGAGAAAACAATCTTTTGCGTAATCAATTGAACATACACACAGTTTTCATATTAATTAGTTAACTTGAAGTATTGACAAAAATATTGACCAGTGGATTTTTTTGTTGACCAAGAAACCGGTTCAGCAACAAATATATATGAATGAATGTGATTTGGTTTAGCACTCCTTTATTTTTAGTCTTCTCATCCAGAAGAGTAGCCTATTAGGAATTCGCATACATAATGTTTGCGTGTATCATTCTCGAACACTGCACATCATAACACTTGTCTGCACATTAGATAGATGCTTTTGGTTTTAATGTTTTCTCTGAGCTAAATTGTTAAGTGTTTCAGTGTCGTAAGGGATGACAGACACATTAATTATCACTTGGTTCGTGTAGAAGGGTGTTCTTCAGTTAGTCAGTCATAAAGTAGAACCTGACACGTATGTACTCCAGGTCAAGTTCACACACACCATTAGCACAGATAGATGAAATTGTTCAACCAAGCCTCAGAATAGTGGAGATAGTAACAGTATTAGGGGTAGTAGAAAACATTAGACATCGAAGATACGATTCGAGAAGAAAATCTAAATTAGGAAAATAAGAACCAAAACATTGTGAGGAAGTTAGGAACTCAGAATTTAGAGACAGACAAAGAATGAATGCACATGCAACATCGCAAACAATTTCAAGCAATGTCATGTAGAATTTCTAACCATTAGTTATTGCCAATCACGCGGACCCGAATCAGGTAATCTACACCTATTGTCAATGACTTCATGGACTGATAGAATGTCTAGGTTTGTCCGTCGCTGTGTTTCTTTCAGCACCAGAGAACACAATCCGTCGAGGCATGCGGTGGTTGGACGTGTGTAATACATGTCCTAACCAGCTTAATCTATAAGAGTTGAATTGATTTGTTTTAATGAACTTATTTGTGGTTGGTTAGCTCCGTACATTTCCCTTACATGCGTCATCAGAACACATAGATTCAGTACTTACACTTTTTCATAGAGTAGGTGTTTGTGATTTGTTGCGTAGGAAAACAGTGGGAACTTTGAAATGAACTCATTCAGCTCAAGGAAAACAGAATTAATGTGTATAATGATTCGGTAACATTGGCCAATCTATTTGCACTATGATAATTGGAAGTGAATGATGAATATGCTTTGATCGTTTAATACGCATCTGATCTAGAATCTTTGGTGTATCGAATTACCTATCGAGTGATGTAAGCTTATATGCAGTGCGGTATATTAGTTCTGTAGGGATTACATATGCATTTTGTTGATAAAGTACCAACTAACATTCAAATCATAATAATCTTTTTTTACACCGACGTTTTAGAGTGTAGTAGCGACTACCTAAGGAAACTAGAGCTTATGAAGGATGTACATATTTGACTTGTACACTTCATATTTGTTATATTTTTCGTTAGATTCTTTGATTAAAATGTTTCCTCTCAATCTTTATTTTTATTCCAGTCAATCATCGCATTACAACACAAAAATGGTAATTTGGAACAAGCTGCTGACTGGGCATTGAGTAATCCAGATGAATTAGAAACTTTATTACTTCAATCTGAAATAGCTATGACTAATAAATCTTCCACTGATGCTGGGAATAATTCAAATCAGACATCTTCATCAGGTCCACCGTTATCAGATGGTAGTTCAAAGTATGAATTATTCGCTTTTATTAGTCACATGGGAAAATCGACCAATGTAAGAAAATTAATTACGTTCAAATGTGTATACTTACAAAATGATGTTTCGTTTGTTTAAAATCCCTTAGTTTGTGTTTGATTTTTCTCGAACTTGTATTATAGTAAGTTGTGTGTTAATCTTTATAGTTTGTAGTCCACATAACTCAACATATGTATAAACTAATAAGTTTCTCTTTTAGTAACTAACTAATCCTGTAACTAAATTGTTTTCATCGCTTCTCAAAATGGCAACACAGATCCCTCAGTAGTGCTATCTTAAACCGTGAAGTTAGTTAACGTAAGTTTAAATTCCACGGTGTGTATTCACGACGTAGCCTAGGTTAACGATTCCCTGCAGACTACCTATTCTAAAAAAGTGGAAATTAGCATTTTGTTGATGAGCTAGCGAATCTTCATCGATCAAGATGTTCAGGTCATATATTACACATATTCAAACCCTGCTTACCTCACCGGAGGTCATTTTTCCCTGGTAAACGAGTAGGGGAAGCTAAATGTAAACATGGCATCAGTCCATAAAGTGATTGCTTGTTTTATTGAGCCATGTTGGTAGGTACAGTCTACCAGGTTGATGTCATTGTAATTATCACTATCAGTTGTCCAGAATTGGTCGCATTAGGTTAGATTTATTCTCTCTTTGTCTCCCAGTAACTCTTGACTTTTAAAATTAATTTATACCAATTTATTCCTGAAATCATATTCTCGGTGCTTAATATCCACTAAAGTGTCATGTATGTCTACTTCTGTGAGATTTATCTCGTTGTACTAAAGCTATGTAACTACTGGCACCGGTACATGTTTGTACCAGATTCTACTTTTCTTATAACTAATTGGCTGATCTCGCTTCAAAGCAATGGTTACTGTCCACATTTATTTGTATGGATTAGTAAAGTGAAGAGACTCTTCTCATGGACACAAGTTTGCTCTTTTTTAGTCAATGTATGCAGAAACTGTGTATTCAAATACTTGTTGGAAAAAAAATTCACTCGACGGGTATTATGTGAACTACATATATATATATCCCAGAAAAATCGTCATTAATATACTAAATATGATTGAGCGACTTAGCTATCTTTGAAATATGGTTAATATCTGGCAAAAGAGTATACATCCCTAATAAACTATATTGTTGACTTGAACTAACAAAGTTTTATTTAGTCTGTTTTTATTATGAGGTATTCAAATTTATACATATAACATACACATCTTCACTTTTTTTGTTTCTTTTGTTTTGCACAGGATGGTCATTATGTCGCTCATATTAAACGATCGTTTCTAGCTAAATGTATTCCTCATGAACCGCCAGTATATCATGTCGGCTCACCAATTTGTGGCGGTTCCGATCAAGAATGGATTATATTCAATGATGAGAAAGTGGCAAAAAGTGAATGCCCACCACATCGTCATGCTTATTTATATTTCTTTCGAAGATTAGATGCTGCTGATCAATCTGATTAACTGTACTTGTGTATGTGTGTGTCACCGAGTGGTATGGTCATTTAAACAGCTTAGTGTTAAACAATGATAGATTTATTGTTTTATTTTCTCTTTCATTGTCTCCGCCTATCTTCCATTCTTATTTTAAACTTGCACCCCAGAAATTCATTAAGTTGTACACATTATAAATTTAGAAAACCTGCTCTTGTGTGTATGTGTATATGTAGAAACGATAAATTGCTGCTGGTAAAGTACAATAAACAATTCAAAAGTATAGCATATTAGTTTTCTGCATTCCCTAATTACATTTATACGTTCATTTATTGTTATCTCTCATCTTCTAAATAAGTTTATGTATCGTAAAAAAAAACAATACAAACACTAAGCCAGATATATATGGATATAAATAATGAATATATTTTCAATCAAATTAAACTTGGTAACAAAAAGGAAAGTATATAACATAGAGACAAACACACACACTCGCGCACACACACAAACAAACATATACAAATACTACCTCTTTTCGGTTTATAAATTCCATACATGAACGAATAAATTATGTTTTTTTTTTCATTTAATAATTATTTTAAAAGAGAAAACACAATGAATGAAACAATTTACATCATAGAAAATGTGGTAATCTATCTCTATTTAATAAATAAAAATGTATTATCCGTGTTTTGATCAATTTTGTTTTCAATTCTATATGACTTACTCGTTGTTAATGATCCTTGTTAATGACTATAATGTTATATAATCTTGAAAAAGATATCATAAATAATAAAAGTAAACGTGTTTTTTTTAAAGTAATACAGTTTTGTTTTTTTTAATACTTTGTTTAATGCTTGATTGATTTGTGTCCATGTTTTGTTACTTTGATTACTACTATTGTGTGTCTTATGATCATTTAGATTAGAATCCTAAAGTAATTAATACAATTAAACGATTAGATTATGTTATTGTGAAATCTTAGTGAAAATACTGAATTGATCAGTATAAAGATTAAAATTAATGCAGGCAATCAATAGTTGATTAATCTCTAAGATGTAATCAATGTTATATTTGAAATTTGGACACTAATTTAAATTATATAAATAAATGTATGCATAGAGAAGTCCTGCTTCATCTATCTAGGCTTCGTGATAATTGGTACTCTTCCATAAGATATACCTGAAATCTCGAGGGAATTAATACCATCTGTGAAATTCGCTTAATTTGGGATGTGATTATTGGAATGTTCGGGCTGCCACTGATTTCTTGTATGATTGAGATATTTACATTGATTAATGATTGTGTCACAGCTTATTTCATGTTTGTCTCGTCCTTTTTTTATTGCTAATCAAACTATATTGATGAAGCTTTTATTTAGACATGAGTCGAAGTGACTTTTCAAAGCATTCATACTTTTTTTAATGTCAGTTAGTGGTTGGAGGCAATTGGCAAGAAAATAAATCGAAATTTCTTACTCATTGGTACTCATCAGTAAGGTAATCTCAGCTTCAGTAGACTGTTACCCTCTGGTGCTGTCACTATTTATGAAATTGGTGTTTTCAAGTTTACGTTACCCAATTGTTTTATATTGGATATCATCCATGTTATTTTATAAATAATCCCTAAATGAAGATTGATTTGATCATTTATTCTGAAGATGTAATTTAAGCAGTAACATTTTAAGTTAGGCTTTTGGAATTTGTTTTTTTACGATAAGAAATGCATCATTTATAGTCGAATGTAATAATAATTACGGCTGGTTGGTAACTAATTTCGAGAGGTTGTTCTTGGAGCTCTACTGAGAATCTAGAGATAAGAGTTCATCTTTGTCTATCTGAGGTAGTTATCCGCTAATGACATTGGGATAATGTTGCTCAATACTCCAAATTAACTGAAGTTATAAATGAAAACTTTTTAATATTGACTCAGGGATTTAAATGTCAAGCACTTGTTGAGAAGTTCCTAAAAGTCTTTGCTTCGATTCCGAATGAGATCTTGGATACGCGCTGTTTATGAGGTTTTCCATACTAGAACAAAACAAATGTTGATTGGTTCCTGGCTTTCAGTGGTTTTCTAAAGAAGATTGATCTGTAATATAAAGAATGATAGTGTGAATTAGTCAGTCATATGCGTTTTTCTCTTAATTCAGTAGCGATAATCACTTCAAATCTTACTGTTATTATAATTCTTAAGATTAAATATGCAGTGGTAATTCATGAAATTTAGCAGTTCTTTAGATAATTTGTTCTAATTTATTTGGTAATCGGAATGGTATTTTGTATCAAGTAGACGAGATGATACGACTTGCTCGTCGTATTTATCTAATTCGACAACTTTTATAACTAATATATAAGAATGGGTTTTGTGGAGATTTTAGAAATCTCAATTGTTGAAATCATGAGTCAATTGAAGCCAGACCACCATGGGAAACCTGGAAGCACTGGACGGCCGTTTCGGCAGCCCGCACCCCGCGGGATTCGAACCCAGGACCTACTGGTTTCGCGCGCGAGCACTTAACCACTAGACCACTGGGCCCGGCATCCGACGGTGTTAATGTCTAACTTCAATTAATCCACGAAGTTGCGCCACCGACCACTATTGTCTCCAGCGAGCTGATATCTGGATGCGCATTGCTGAGGAGTCCCATACTAGGACGAAACGGCCATCCAGTGCTTCCAGGTTTTCCATGGTGGTCTAACTTCAATTGACTAATATATAAGAGCAGAACGGAAAGCGTTTACAAATCACCAAACTGACGACTCTTTTTGTAGGTATCATTACCAAGGTTTGACTTGTTAATTTCAGACAAATCGAGCATTGAGTAGATTGTTATAAATAAAAATAATATATTTTTAATATTTCAATGAATAGAAATTTACGACTAGATCACCGAATGCCTAGACTAAATATTATAAACCTCTTACCCCCTTCCTTTATTCTTACACTTAATTTTTTCTCCTTATTATCATTATTTCTGATTATCGCTATCTTAATCTTCACATCAATCATTCCCAATTCGTTGATCGTAATTACCTTGATAACACCCTCCTTATTACATATTACATTTACACAACAATCTTATTACTATTATTATTATTATCTCAATTGACAAGATTAAATTCTCCTACTATGCATTTTATTCACACAATTTTTTGCATTTTCATTTTTGCTATAATACTATTATACTTATTGTGACTGAACACTTTACTCCAAGTCATCCTGACCTTTATTGAATGACCTTTCTGATTTGCAAATAATACAATTTTAAAGTATATACATATATCGTAACAGATGTAAGCGTTTACCATTTTCAACACATAACATTGTCAAATTCATTCATACATGCCTTATTTTTGGCCTTAGTAAAATTATTATAATTATGAACTTATAACTGTAGAGCTTGATGATGAAGTTATTGAAAACAATTGTTCGCTCAAATATTCTTCATTTTTAAATGTAAATAATATCAGACATAATAGTTTGAATTGATAGTTCAAGTCGGATGTATAGTATGGCCTTGTTTTCTATTGAGAACAGTTGGATTAAGCATTATATGAAAAGCTTCAGTTACTCTCCTTTCTTTATAATTGGGAAAGCCTTTTTGTAATATGTTGACATCGATTTAGTGGTTGTTGAAAATGACATGAACTGCTATTGCCGATTTAATTTGAATTCTATGCAGTTATACGGGATTATAAGGTAGTTTCTTTGTGTACCCAAGATGTTCTTTAGCTCGAGTCAAGGTTTTGCGAGATGATTCATCAATATAGATGGCATCACAATCGACACATCCTAATTTTTAGACACAGTTCTGTGTTGACATAAAGGGGATTTTTCCTTTTAAGCGAACTAAAGTATTTCGAAATGTCTTCGTTGTTTTGTTATATACTTCGGTTTAACCAGCCAAATAACATCACTAGCTCTCATATGAACATTATGTGGCTCATAGTCTGGAGTATACAAATGTTCACTTATTAAATCAGTTATAGAAAGCAATCTAACAAATTGTATAGTTGAGTGATTTAGTCACAAAATTTAATTGTATTTTCAGCCTAATACCACTACTTTATCCCACACAAATGAGTTTATCTTCCATGCCCACTTACAAGTGCTAGTAATGCTCTGTAGCTTGTTCATTAAGTAGAACGTATACAATATGTACGTTAGCTGTTGGTTTTTGTGGGAAGTTTGTATCATTTTGGTAGTTATCATCATCGCGATATGGGCTATCACTTGGAGAAAATGGATAAATAATTTTCAGTAGTATTAAGAATACCAATCATTAAACCTATCTTGTTTTCATTTACATTTAAAGATGTTATGACTGTTGTTCTAACCAGATTGCTAACTACCATCTCACCATAGTGCACATGACGTCAAGTTATCCAGACTAATGGCTACATAATTATTTGATTGATACAATTCAATCAACATCAAGAAAGTAGACAAATATAATATTAATCGCTATTCAGTAGTCAATTAGTTCTCCCTACATGCAGTCAATCACAGTTTGAATGACTCAGTAGCAATCCCTCAAACCGTTAAGCTGGATTAAAATCCTACAGGGATTATCTGTATATTCAAGTTTTCAGGTACTCCTTTTTAAGGAGTATCAACCAACTCAAAAAACTAAGTTTATGGTTTCCTCCTAGCTAGACTTTGTTCGACTGTTACTGTTGAATGACTAAGCAATTGTATAACACTTCACTACAGTCTAAGTAATCAGTCATTAGTTTTCAGTGTCTTATGAACCATTCATGTTGATTTCATAAAATCCTGTTGGCTTTATAATAAACAAGATTAATTTACTCATGATTATCTTCTGACATAGCATCATTTGACCACATAATTACTAGAAATTTGATTTATTTGTTTATTTGTTATAGAATGGCTGAAAAGGCCGACGATTTATACTTGCCAAATGCAGTACTTCTTCGAATTATCCGTGAATCAGTAAGTGTTTGATTACATGTATCTGTGTGTGTTTCCAAGTGTTGTATTGAATTTTGTCTTGCCTTACTGAATATATTGAGAAACCTTCCAAAAAATATTTTTTTGTACAGAATTTGATGGCTAGATTAGGCTTTTTGAATATTTTCTTCAGCTTTTAACTACAGTAGGATAAAGAGTAAATATTTTAAACCATTCGTAATCATTACTTTACTAATGAGATTTTCTAAATGCAAACTGATTACATTTGCTAATCGTTGTATACTACCGAAAACTGTTTTATCTAACTCTTAGTTTTTGTATATAAATCTAAAATTCGATCAAGATAGATGAGAAAGTCTTACACTAGGTGAATGCTAACGTAACTAACTTGGTATCGTATATTGGAATCTTTCTGACAGGACTGACTACAGTGACTAACTAGTGTAACCCCATATCTGTCAATTATCCATAACTGTGAAGATCATTTATATACTATCTTTGATTTAGAGTTGAAAGTACGTAACGAAATAATAATAATTTAGGTGGAATGAATCCATTCTCTGTCAACTTCCTCCTAGAACATTGGGACTTGCATTTAAACCTAGTATATAAAAATTGAATTTTCATTCATCCCTGGATTAATGAAGAAATAATTAAATATATGTGTTATGACGAAATGTTAGACACTAGATAGTCCTAGACATAAAGATATTCGTCTTTATTTAGAGCTCAACAACAATCCACACTTACGAATTCCAACCGAGTCGAACTAAAGATACTTAGATCTCTCTCCGGTAGGACAAAGTGTCCTTAGGTTCTTTCCAACTTTAATATGTCAATTTATACTATTCAGCGCGATCATTATCCAATAATATTATTGAGTAATCACTGGCTCACTCCAAATACACCTTAAAACTAAAAAACAATCTCTTTAAAGTGATTCACAAATTTTATTAACTGTCCTGATTTATTTATTTATTTTAACAAATAAATATTGGTACAAGAGGGCACCAAATATATATGCGCCACACCATATTTGTGTGTGTGTGTGCTGTGATACTGCCCGGGTGCCCAGAACGAAGCAGGTGGTTTTCTTAGGAGGCCACACCCCGAGCCTTTGGCCTAAAGGTCTGATCTACAAGGCAGTGGGGCATCGTGAGGATATGCAGTCCCATGGTAACCGGTGACCAACAATTGGTTCGTACGCCATTTGTTCCCTCAGGATCCTGGAGCCCATGTGCACCATTGGTTTGTGATCCGGTTAAAGCTCCGGACATTCGCTTTTCATCCTCTCATTTTCGTAAACAACACCCCTGGTGTGAGAAGGCAGTGAGTAGGACTTCCCTGGCAGAGGCTGTATACGCGTGGCCATGTGAGAGCATTTGAAAAGGGGGGAGGGCCTACCCCACTCTCGGCCATACCAGGACATTCGGGGACGCCCTAATTTATTACTGTCAATTTACAATAAGAAGTTTATATTCAAAGAATTATATCCAGTAAGTGATAGAGATTATTGTTCTGTTTATAACTAACTTGTCAAGAAACATATTTAATTTTGTAGTCTCTTCATATTTTCATTTTTCCTGTTTCAAAAATTATTTTGATAAAATAAATAAGGATATAAAATAGAATATAACGGTACCATGAACTCGTCTCAGTTATTATTTTGTTTTAAAGAGCAGAAAGACTACATTTTGTCCCCCCTCCACATACACACAACACCCACCCATTCATATAATCTGTGCAATTTGAATGAATTACCTAGATATTGTCATTTAATCACAAATTTTTAATAAAGCTGAGTAATGACTAGTAGTTGAATGTACCCCCCTGAATGTCCTGGTACGCCCGAGAGTGGGGAGAGTCCGCTCTCCATCTCGAAATACTCTCACACGGCCACGCGTATACAGCCTCTGCCAGGGAAGTCCTACTCATTGCCTTCTCACACCAGGGGTGTTGTTTACGAAAATGAGAGGACGAAAAGCGAATGTCCGGCGCTTTAACCGGATTCCAAATCAATGGTGCACATGGGCTCCAGTATCCTGCGGGAACGAATGGCGTATAAACCAATCGTTGGTCACCGGCTACCATGGGACTGCATCTCCTTACGATGCTCCACTGCATTGTGGGTTAGACCTTTAGGTCAAAGGCTCGGGGAGTGGCCCCCTAAGATAACCACCTGCTTCGGTTTGGGCACCCGGGCAGTATCACAGCCCACACACAAATTGATGAACTCTTTATGCCTATGGAAATTACCTTTCTCGCTTTGAAAAACAAACAATTGATTCAGATTATTATCATTACAATTATTGTCATTATTAATACTAATATTATTATTACTACTATTATTGTCATTATTGTTATTATTATCATTATTATTATTATTTTCCACATTATTCACCCTCTGTTATACTTATACAGCGGCTCGTCTTTGGTGGAAATCCGACTGTATCCAAACGTTCTCGAGTCACTGTCCGGTTGAAAATTGTATGTTACCACCGAATACGAGGACTGAAGCAGATTTTCTGAAACCACGTGCACCATTCAAACTGGCTGCCTTCAACGTTCGCACATTTATGCAGGTCGGACAACAGATAGGGCTGGCTATGTCTTTGGAAAGTCTTAATATCGACATGCGTTGTCTATCCGAGACCCGTATTCAAGACTCTAGCGAAGTACTACAAATTCGCTCTCCATCTGTCACTTCAAAAAGCTTGTTTTACGTGCGCTTATCCGGGGACCCTGTGGCATCTTCGTCTGGTCTTGCTGGCGTTGGTGTCGCACTAAGCGCTAGAGCTGAGGCAGCACTAGTCGATTGGATCCCCATTAACAGTCGGTTATGTGCTGTTAGATTAGAAAGTTCCATCAAAGTGAGAAGAAATCGGCGTGAGAAACGATGTCTTTTCGTCATCTCCGCCTATGCCCCGACAGATTGCAGCCCGGATGAAATCAAGGATGAGTTTTGCCACCAGTTATCTGTTCTTCTCCAGAAAGTGCGGTCGACAGATATTGTAGTACTAGCCGGAGACTTGGATGCTCAGGTCGGGCGTCTAGGCACAGAAGAGAGTCGTTTAGGTGGCCGATGGGGACTCGTTGGTCGCAGGACAGATAACGGGGACCGTCTACTGCAACTTTGCACAGACCACAACCTGTTTCTGGCTAGCACTAACTTTCGGCACAGTCATCGCCGATGTGCCACCTGGCGTCCTCTCTCTGCATCTCAAGCCTGGACTCAGATTGATCACATCGCGATCAGCTACCGCTGGCGTGGTTGTGTACAAGACTGCCGCTCCTTTTGGAGTACCTATCTGGACTCTGACCATGCCTTGGTCTGCGCCAATCTCACCTTACTTTTCAGTGAACAACGAAGTGACCGCCATCAACGGATTGATGTTAGCAAGCTGGTTGCAACTTCTGTTGCAAGTAAGTATCGAACCGAGCTAGCCTCTAGGCTAGCTACCACTCCACCGAAAAGTATAGATGAGCATTGGTTGCAATTGCATGACGCCATGAAAACGGCAGGTATCGTCAGTTGTGGGTTTGCGAAACGTCCCGCTTTTAAGCACTGGGTTTCTTCAGGTTCCTTACAACTCATTGAAGCCCGTTGGTCTACTCCGGGTGACCGTGAGTTTGACCATAAACGAAGGATGTTACGTAAGGAAATCGGGCAAAGCTTGCGTAAGGACCGAGAAGCCTGGTGGTCGATGCGTGCTAATGAGCTGGAAGCAGCAGCTGCATCTGCTAATGACCGGAAGCTCTTCCAACTCATCCGAGCCACTGGCAGCAAGACGTCTGGTGTGAGCGAAACAATCTGCGAGGATGATGGGATGCCAATCACTAACATCCATCGACGTCTTGGACGATCGGCAGAATTTTTCGAAGGGCAGTTCAACTGGCCTGCTGCTCCGGCAACATCGGTCAGACTGTCCTGCCCTCCATGGCCGGTGACGACTGATCCACCAAATGAGGAGGAAGTCCGCAAGGAACTCCAACTCTTGAAGCGCCACAAATCACCTGGCCCAGATGACTTACCTCCGGCTCTTTTTAAAGATGGTGGTGACTTTTTGACTAAGGAATTGACGACGTTGTTTACAAAGGTTTGGGAACTAGAGAGTGTGCCAACGTCATGGAATGAGTCGATAGTTGTCCCTATCTTTAAAACAGGTTCACGTCGTTCCTGTAACAACTATTGGGGGATAAGTCTACTTCCGATTGCGTCCAAGCTATTGGCTTCCGTCATTCTTCGTAGGTTGTTCAAAACCCGAGAAAGATTGACTCGCGAGGAGCAGGCTGGGTTTCGTTCCAGTCGAGGATGTATTGATCATATCTTCACCCTCCGCCAAATGTTAGAACATCGTCATGCTTTTCAAAGGCCAACAATCGTAGTGTTTCTTGACATCAGGGCTGCCTTCGATTCGTTAAATAGGACTGTTCTCTGGGATTGTCTATTGAAGAAGGGTGTGCCTGAGAAGTTTATTAACATCCTAAAAGCCCTGTATAAAAACACCTCAGGCAGAGTGAGGGCATACAACCACCTCTCTCCATTGTTCCATTCGAGCAGTGGGGTTAGGCAGGGTTGCCCAATCTCACCATTCCTCTTCAACTTTGCCATCGATGACATTCTGGAAGCAGCTCTGATGGATGTAAGTAATGGTGGTGTGGATCTGTTGCCTGGAGAAACACTTCTCGATCTTGAGTATACAGATGATATTGTCTTACTGTGCGATAATGCCCAAGGCATGCAATCCGCACTTAATCAGTTGGCAATCAGTGTCCGTAGGTATGGTATGTGCTTTGCACCTTCGAAGTGCAAAGTACTTCTACAAGACTGGCAGGTTTATAATCCTGTATTCACCCTGGATGGTGAGCAGATAGAAGTAGTCGAGAAGTTCGTGTATCTGGGTAGCTGCATAAGTGCTGGTGAGGGTGTGAGTGATGAGATCAATCCACGTATAGTGAAAGCCAGAGCGGCTAATGCCAATCCGGGCCATCTTTGGTGCCTTCGTGATGTTAGTGTGGCTGTAAAAGGTCGGATCTACAGCGCGTGGGTGAGAGCAGTTTTGCTCTACGCTTGTGAAACATGGCTTCTCCGAGTTGAGGACGTTAGAAGACTCTCTGTGTTCGATCATCGTTGTCTCCGAAGGATTGCTGACTTTCAGTGGCAACACCATGTCAGTAATGCAGAGGTTCGGCATCGTGTGTTCGGGCACAGAGATGATAATGCAATTGGTGTCACCATCTTGAAACACCGACTTCGGTGGCTTGGACATGTTCTACGAATTTCGTCCCAGCGAATTCCACGTCGCGCATAATTTGCCGACTCTGAGACTGGTTGGAAGAAGCGGAGAGGTGGTCACTGTATAACACGGTGTCGTGGTATGAAAGAAAGCTGCAAAGGACTGCCTTGTGTTGGTCCTTCACGAGTCCCTGAATGGGGTCCGAGAGATGGTGCAACACAGTGGCTAGAGACGTTATCAGATATGGCTCAAAATAGAAGCCAGTGGCGATCCTGCTGTAACCTTCTTTTACTTTCTTCATAAAAAGTGGTTGTGTCTCCTTTACCTGAAAGATTTCTTCTGATTGTACCTTTCCGTTCGCTCATTACTACCACACTACCTTACTCCAATCTCTTCGTCATTGTTCTCTTTTTCTTTTGCGTTCCTTAGTTTTTTTTTCTTTCTACTTCTCTTCGAATTCTCATTGTTTTGTGTGGCGCATATATATTGGCGCTCTCTTGTACCAATATTTATGTGTTCAAATAAATAAATAAATAATAAAATCGTCCTATTCGGAATTCGTTAACCAGATTCATTCCAGTACTAATGTTGAACTTAATACCTTTTACTTCAAACCTAAATACATCATCAACTGAACTACTAAATTAACTTAATCAATAGTTTATTCAATGAGTTACAAATTTTATTTCTCCTATTGTTGTATCAAGAACTGTAATCTATCAATTACCATTGGCATAGATTTTTGAGGAATTTCAAAATATCTCATATCAAAGAGTTTAAAGTCTCAGAAAATGGATGAGCACACTCTGCCTAATTAACGATGAATAGAAGCTTTTTAGAAACATTAAAAACAAGCATCACACTAATTGAATAATCGTCTATATTGTTATATTTGGCATGTTTTCAGAAATTTCTAGATGGTCAATATCATATGAAAGTCAATAAGTACACTCGATCCTCTGTACATACTTAGCATTGATACAAAGTACTTTCTCATTTTTTATGTGTTGATTTTATTGTTCGAGTTGAAGCAGTAGTTTGGGGCTATAAGAAGAAGCTAGGAAGTCAGTAATAAACGTCCCTGGAGATAACGCGTTATTGTTTTTGGAGCAAAACATACTAAGTTCAAATCTCATTATGATAATCAATACGCATGCCTGTGTGTCCAACTGACAAGTTTCAAATATAAAAAAAGCATAAATATCTATTCACTGTTAATGCATTTAACTCATTTTTTGATGTATATTTACCTTTACGTTTCTTTTTTTTGCCCCCTTGTCTCCTTATAGTTACCTGAACGCACTCTTGTCAGTCGTGAAGCACGTTCAGCAATTAGTAAATCGGCTAGTTCCTTTATACTTTATGTAACATCATTAGCCAGTGTGCATTGTGAGAAGTCAAAACGTAAAACGTTAACAGGAAGTGATATATTAGCTGCTTTAAAAGAAATGCAATTTGATCATTTTATACCAGCACTAAATGCATTTTTAGATAGTAAGTAAATATTTGGTGTTATTGGAGGATTTTCTCTGATTGTAGAATCTTCATGGTTTATAAATCACAAACTGATCTTAGTTTGTCCTTTATTGAGAAGTTGGGAGCACTGGATGAGCGTTTCATCTCAGTATGAGACTATACTAGTGCGTATCCAGTTTTGTTAACACTGTTAAAATCTTACTCAAAACGATAACCGCGAGTGTCTTTTCTCTAACGCATTTATCCTCCTGATCTTTGTTTTTCTCGAACCGCTTGTCATTGCTTTCGATTCTCTAGTTTTTTGTATGCGTTAAGGTCGTGTTTTCAGTATTACATATACAGAATTGTACCAATCCGTCCCGTACTTCTTATCATACGTCAATATCCAGTCTTCGTACAATTCGCCTTCTGTGTGTGTTAGTCACTATTCATTAATGTGTAGCATGTTAGTTACCGTTGTCAATTCCAAAGAGAACTGGTCGTAATAGAGTAGCTCAATTATTTCCGTAATTTCCCGAGTATTGTAGGTCCGTATCAAACCTGCAAATAATGGGACATAACAATGAGCTGCTTGGGATGTGTTACACATCCATAAATCACCATCGATCTTCATGCACCATAGTGTACAGTATCTGAGTATGCTTGAAATGAAATCCCTAACTAAAGATACGTTACATTATATAACATTTATCCACTAAATAAACGGAGGACTGTTGATATATATTGGGTACGGTACATTGAAAACGTTGGTAGTAACCCCAGTTTTTCCTCCAATCAATAAGTTATTGTAATAATAACTTTAAAATCTGTTTATTTTAAATCGTTTTCTCGTATTTTTCAATCTGATAAACACATCAGGTCAGAATTACATACTTTCACTTAATATATAGATTGCTTACTTAATCTAATCATTGTTCGATGTTTACTGATACATTAGTGGTCGATTATTTATTGGCAAATTCTGTTACTACTCAGTAATTATTAGTAACATATTTTACTGTTAATACTAACCTTTTCATTTTACCTGACCTTAGAATATCGTGAGCAGGTAGTTTTAAAAAAGTCGAATAAACGTCTACATAGTGAGAATGAAGAAGAAATGTCTTCTGAAAAACTGTCTCAAATTCCATCATCTTCAACATCACACCTAAAACATCTAGACAGTAATGTTACAACAGTTGAAGATGATGACAATGATGATGTCGTTGGTGATGATGCTGATGAAGAAGAAATTGAAGAAGTGGAAGATGTAGATGTTATAGAGGTAGACAATGACGATATCATTGAAACTGCAGATACTCATATGGAAGAAGGTACCGTAAAAAATGATCAGCTAGGTGTTGGTATTAGTGATGACGATGAAGATGACGGCAATTCTCAGAGCACAGAAGCTTTAAATGAAAATGAAGATTCATTTTAGTTTGCATTTTTGTTATTTTTTGTACAATTTTGTCAGTACTATGAAACATTATAAATTGAACTATACTAATGCATTTTTTCCTGATATTTATATCAAGATATTCCAATATGTTGCATTTTTTTCTGTAAATTATTTATGTTAAACTTTTTCTAAATTGTAACAATTTTGATATAAAAAAGAAGCTTCTTTCAGATATTTTTTCCAAATATATTTTAAATTTTTGTACTCCCTCCTTGTGTCCGTCCACTGACTTTATATGTACATTCATTGGACGATCTAGAAACCAGTGAATTTCTTACACTAGATGGTGGTTGGAGGTAGTCAACAGGAAACCCTGGACCCGGGTTTCGTGCTACTTGGCACTCGTCAGCAAGGTGTACCTGTAATCATGAGGGAACTGGTACTCCCTGACGGATTCGATCTCGTGTCACTCAGCTTCACAGTCAGAGACGTTACCACTGAGCTATCCGAGCCGTGACTAACCTCCTGTAGGAATGAAATGTAATCACAATTGACTGATCACTGGGTGGTGACCAATGTCATGTGTGTCGATAGCATTCGATCTGCACTAAGAAGGACTTGACACAATGATCAATCAATTGTAATTTCATATACTGTTTCAATAAGCTTCGATAAGGCCCGTTTAAAGCTCGATAAATAATTTTTGTTCAAACTGACGATTCATGTGATTAATTTTGATGAAATGTAGTGAATACAATATATCACAGCGGCTTCAGTATATCGTTTGGACTAAAGTAGTTATTCGTCTGTTGGCTATGAATTTTCTACCTTAGTGCATTCTGATGATAAGATCCTCAAGTTCTGTCTTTCGTAATCCAATGTAGATGACTGTATCTTTTTGTACAGATGAATGACTGATAAGTAAAAATCTAGTATATGAAAGATGAGCCAATCAAAACCGAATAAAAACTTTAGTCTATTAGAGATTCAAGACTGAATGAATTCAGTCTTTCATCACATGAAATGTTTGGTAACATCAACTTTGTGTATTGCTTGCAACGTTTGGGAGTTAATGGAAAAAAATTCTTTATCTCATTTAGCAACAATTACAGTGTTCTATATACAAATTATACATAAAAAAGAGTAGATTAATTCTTATTTCAACTTACTTCGTTGATAGTAAACCCTAAAAGAGATTATCGATTCGTTGAACTACATGTGAGCGGGTGAAACAGATTAGCTAAAATAGATAACAATTTTAACGGATAACCTTTATATATTGATATAACGACAAGAATGGTTTGGTTAGTGATAAATTCTCAATGTAAGTATGTACGGTTATGCGAGATTCAGGAAAAAAACTATGAATGTGAATAAAATCACATTCAGAACAATCAGGTTATGCAGCGATATCTCCGTAATATCAACAACAAGAAACTTATAATAATCCTTTAAAAACAAATTCTAATAGGTTTCATTATTTCTGTTGAGAAATAAGATTGACTTAGTATTGTTTACCTTCTGATTAACTGAAAATGGACTTCAAATTTACTTGGTCTTTTTAGAAATCGCCCAGCTCATCTCCACTACCCTATACTAAAACTTTTGAGTGTAATCCATGATCAAAAGGACGTTGAATGAATAATTAATTGGTCAAAATGAAGCCTACAATCAAATGTAAATGAAAAACGTATTTGAGGAGAAATATTTAATATTGCCTAACTAAAAAATAGTTATCCGTCTAAAAGCTTGAATATAGGTATATCTGTTAACTGATTGACAACTCTGTTTGTGTGTCGTTAAGCTTTTTTGTGGTTCATATATGTTTCCTGATCGAATTGTAGGATTATTGAGTCAGTTGTACCACGTATCCTGCATATCCTTGACCAATTACTTAACCATCATAAGAACATATTACTACTAATTGTGTGAATAGATCTGATTCCAGCTTATTGTTATTCTGTTTATAAGTCTGCTTCTCTATTTTTCTTGCTTAGGTTAATACAACCTGTCTTGAAACGCAATGGCATTTATTTGGTTCTAGAACTTTTGAAGGAACGTTTTTTGTTGTTAAATTCAAGATTAATACAAAGAAGATTGTAGCATTTAGAACAAATCAGATTGTATTATTTGAAAAGCACTCGTTTTTTAACAAGGTACTTTTTTTACGAGGTGGAGTTGCTACTGTTATTCTCATCCCTCTTCTTTTACCTGGGTTCAGGATCGGTAGTAACCTTAAAAGAGCTCCAGGCTGAGTTGTTTGAAAGGATAGCACTCATAAGTTGTTTCAACCGAACATTTATCAGAAATATCCTAATTAAATGAATCATATGATGCAGGCAAAATTTTAATCAGAGATGACAACATTTCAGAGTTCAGCATTGTTATTGGAGTATATATTACTCTATTATCAATATTGTAAGCACTGATTTATAGTAACTAGGTGATGTCAGTCAGTCAGTAACAACGTAGAACTTCGTACATACGTACATCAGTTCTAGTTGCCACACCACATTAGCACAGAGATGCAGTTGTCGATTCAAATCCCATAGTGGTAGAGGTAATAAGAGTATAAGCAGTAATCGGGAAGATTAGGGTTTGGAGATGTTATTTAAAGAGTATAATCCAGTGAAATGAATTTGGAAAGAGGAAAAAAGGGACACGAAGAATTCAGAAGATTAGAATTTGGGAGAACATGAAGAGTAGATGCACCTGCGCCATTGCAAACGATTTTTAGCCATGTCATTCAGGGTCTCTAACCATCGGTTGCTATCATCTCGCGGTCCCCAACCAGGTAGTCTACACCTACCAACATGACTCAGTCCACTTGTCAGTGACTTCATGGACTTGTGCCATGTTTTGGTTTGGCCGCCCCTAGCTTTCCTCCAACCTACTCCTATACCACTGAACATCGCACGTCGAGGCAGTCGGTCGTTGGGCATACGTAACACGTGTCCCAGCCATCTCAACTGATGAAGTTTCACTACTTCATCAATTGATTTGCCATCCTTACCTAGTACCCGTTTCCTAACAACTGTGTTACTTACTCGATGGTCCCATGATATAAGAGCAATGTTTCGAAGACACCTATGATCAAATACTAGTAACCTACGAATATCCTCTACTCTTACCGGCCATGTTTCACTGCCATAAAGTAGGACGGAACGAACTGCTGCGCAGTAAACCCGTCCTTTGGTTGATAGACGGATATCTCGCCTACGTCATGAATGACGTAAGTTGACAAAAGCTAGTCGAGCCTTCTGTATCCGTGCTGAGATTTCGTCACACATCAGACCACAAGGGCTGATGAGACTTCCAAGATAAGTGAAGCGATCGATACGCTCAATTACTTCACTCCCTATCACTAGTTCGGGTGTCGATGTAACCCAATCCTGAAGCAACATTTTGCATTTCGAGGGAGAGAATCGCATCCCGAACATGCTTGCATTGTTGCTTAGAGTGGTCAGAAGACTCTGCATTTTCTCAGCGTCTTCACCAAATAAAACTATGTCATCTGCATATTCTAAGTCAACAAGTGAACCTCCCGGTAGAAGTTCAACCCCTGGAAATTTAGATGAGGAGAGTGTTATCTCTAAAAGTACGTCGACCACAAAGTTGAACAAGAATGGGGAGAGTGGACAGCCCTGACGAACACCACTTGAGGTAATCAATTCTGATGACAGTTCTCCATAAGCTCTCACTCGACCAGTTGTGTTCGAGTAGAGAGCCTTTATAAGGTTAATATACTTCTTTGGTACTCCTTTCAGTGACAAACACTGCCATAGAACCTCACGATCAACAGAGTCGAATGCCGCCTTAAGGTCGAGAAATACTACCATTGTGGGGCGTCTGAATGTGTGTCTGTGTTCTAGAACCTGACGTAGTGTGAATATCTGATCTATACAACCACGTCCAGGTCGAAAACCAACCTGATTTTCTCTAGTCTGCTCTTCACGAGCTTTGGTTAGGCGTCGAAGTATTATTGAAGCTAATATTTTAGACACTATATTAGTCAAACTGATTCCTCTGTGATTGTCACAAGAGAACTTTTGTCCTTTCTTATAGACTGGCACAATCAGTGATTGAGACCAGTCAGATGGGATTACGTCCAGTTCCCAAATTCTACCTAAGACCTCAGTTAATCTCACTGCTAATACTGGACCACCATCCTTAAAAATCTCAGGAGTAAACTTGTCAGGGCCTGCTGCTCTTCGTTATGTTCAGAGCCAGGTGGAATGTGTTTCCGAGCATCTATCAGTGCGATAGATGCTGCTGAGATCCAGTGTTGCTCCCTAACCTTCTGGTTTACCTTACTAGCAGATATCACTGCTGTTTCCACAGCTTTTCGGATATCATTCCATGCTGCATCGGGGTGGGCATCACACACATGGCTGCCTAACTGTTTTCCTAGTTGTTCCTGAAATATACTCTTAGCTTGATTATCATTAAGTAGGGCCCTAAGAGGTTTACTTGCAGCATCTTTCCTACGTCCAGTAAGACGCAAGCAAATACGCGCTCGCACTAGAGCATGATCTGAATCTAGGCATGTGCTCCAGAATGAGCGACAGTCTTCTGTCGAGCCCCTCCGTCGGTGGCTGATAGCGATGTGATCTATTTGGGTCCAACGTTGGGACGAATTAGGGGGTCGCCATGTTAAAAGATGTTTTTCCTTATGCTTAAAGTTAGTATTTGCAAGGAACAGGCGGTTATCTGAGCATAGCTGCAACAGACGGTCGCCATTATCTGTTCTTTGAGCCACGACACCATAGGATCCACCTAGGTGTCTTTCCTTATCGCCTAGTTTACCTACTTGAGCATTAAAGTCACCGGCCACTATTACTACATCCGAGCGCTTAGCTTTTCGGAGAAGGTCCGAAAGCTTTCTGTAAAACTCATCTTTTACATCATCTGAGCTGCAGTCAGTGGGAGAATAGGCAGAGACGACGAAGAGGCAACGACGAGTGTCCCTATCTTTCCGGATTCTTACTGTTCCGTTCAGTCGGACAGCGCACAAACGACTGTCTACTGGGATCCACTCT